CGGAGTCGAGGAAGACGAGACATGGAAATGTGTGTGATTGTGGGATTCACGGGCTGCTATTTATAGCCAAATCTCAGCTCATCGTGAGTGCATCTATGTCAGAGTTCGGGCGATGGTAAATTTATAGCGTCCTTGCTACAATAGTGAGGATTGTTAGGGTGCAGTGCGTAGTAGGGATAGATGGCTTGATGTGAAGCGGGGAGGGTAGGAGGGCATGCGAGAGTGTCTCGCATTGCTTCGTCGGTGCGGCACAACAGTGAGGAGTTGGGCACCACCACAAGGATCACAATGGTCGTGCTGAGACTTAGACACTTAGTATAATATTTTGTGTCGCACTGAACCAGTTTTAAGCACCAAAACTCTAGTTTGAACCAGATTTACCGTTAGGTTTCCATCGTGACAGGTTTTGCTCTAATTGTCAAACTTGCTAGGCAACCTGGATTTTTCAAAAAATGTAAGACAACTAAAAATTAGCAAAAGCAAATTTATAAGCATCCATTTGATTTTTGCAATTCATCTGCTCTTGATAAAATTTAAAACACATCATCCTATTACATAGAGAGAGAGAGAGAGAGAGAGAGAGAGAGAGAGAGAGAGAGCCCACATGTCAGGTGATATGGCTTCCTAGTTGGTGTCATGTGGGTCTCGATTTTATTTTAAGCATGGGATGTGGTTTTATTTTATCATTATGCAACATCCGCATAGAAATCCTGAATTGTAATCCGGGTCGCAACTGGAATCCTCACCACTTGTCGGTCACTCTGCCAAGTGATGCTGCCAAACGTGTAGCCCCCTTGCAAGTTCCAGATAGGTGACAGCTTCACCTCGAATTTCTGGACTTTGTTCGCGGCATTGAACACAAGAACATCCGGGAAAACCTCCATCTTGACTCTGGTCGGGCTCTGGACTGCGATGTGGTACACAGAATGGAGCTCGCCGACGTTGGTCACCGTCCTCGAGACCGTGATCGCACTCCTCAAATCGGGAACCGAGATGGATGGCAGGTTGAGGTTATACTCTGGCATAGAGGTGGTGTTGCAGCTTGCGAACGCAAATATCCCCTCCTTGACGTTGGCGCATCGAAAGAATTTGTTGTAATCGTGTGGATCAATGTCATAAATTAGGCCGGGATGAGCTGCCCCACATGGGTTGATGTTCCCGCCTCCATAGTCGAATGGGTCGGCGACCTTCCGCGGTAGTCCTTCGGCCAAGATCGGCATGCCGCGTTCATCAGTTACATGGGCTTCATTGTACCATGCAAGCAAAACCAACAAAACATAGGTAAAGACCACAATTGCATGAACTAGCTAGGAATTAATTGGATGTTCTACTTGCGTGTTGTTACTAACCAGTGGTGACGATGGCTGACTTTATTGCAGCAGGAGACCAATCCGGGTGCAGAGCTTTGAGCAGTGCGGCGACAGCCGATGCATGCGGGGCTGCCATGGACGTCCCTGACTTAGTTACGTAGGAATCTCCCACTGCTGCTAAGATGTTGGCTCCGGGCGCAGCTACATCAGGCTTGATGAAGGCCGGGTAATCAGCCGATGGGCCTCTCGAAGAGAAGGACGCCACTTTGGAAGCCAGCACATCTTTGCTCATGACGGTGCGCGTGGGTTCGATTTTTGCTGTGGGAGAGCTGTTTATTGCAAAAAGAAGATCAGATTCAGAGATAAACATATGTATTCCATTTTATTTGTATAATTTTCGTGAAACTTTATGGTGCAGTCTGTGGACGTATGCGTACAGACTGCACTCACGTATTTTTACTGTGGGTTTTGCAACCAAGTGATGCCACATCGATCAGGAGGTTTTAATCCGTAACTGTAGAATTACTTGTGTGGACGTACCTTGAGTCCATGGCGTATCCGCATACCCTCCTGGAGATGTAGATGTCGACGATAACGCAGGCGATGCCCAGGCAGTAAGCCACTGTGGAACTCGGGGTGTCCGTCGTGTATTGCGCGAAGATGAGCCCGGATCCCCCGCCTTCCACCACGTACTTGGCCGCATGGTGGAAATCATCTGATGAATTGATCGCGTCATTATCGTTTAAGCACACCAGGATAGCCCCTTTCACGTCAATCTGATGAAGAACCTCATGTCTCGGCACACAACTAGATCCAGAAAAGCAAATCAAGTTCAAGCATGGGTAAGATATTTCATGCATGCATGGTTGGTCAGAGCTCGGGAGTTTTTTTACTCACGATGGTGCACATATAAGCTTTGTGAAATTGCTAGCCGTGTGTGATGATGAGTTGATGTTCTTCACTTGGTAATAAAGAGACTGGCCCACCATTTGCTGCTTGTTTCCCAACGTAATCACCGTCGGGAACGAGCGGTCGATCTTGCTCGCCGCGACGGTGAGGACCCAAGGCGAGGTATCCTCGACTGTCTGCAGCATGGGCCCGTCATTTCCGGCGGAGTACACCACAGTGATCCCCTTCTTGAGCATGGGCGCCGTACGAGTTCTCGTGCGCCGCAGTGAGGGACAGCGACAACACATCCACCCCGTCGTGGATCGCGTCGTCAATGGCGGCCAGCACAGTGGCCGAATCGCCATAGCCAGCAAAGATGGACTTGTACACTGCGATG